GACACTGTTCCATCAATAGATTCCATCTGCACCTTGACCAGTTCCCGATAGCTGGAGGTCTGCTTTGCACCAATCGTGGATGTGTTCAACATGTGAACTTCACCTGCCATGTCCAGCTCATGGGCTACATCCTCCCGTATGAAGTTTACAGTCGAGCCCGAGTCCAGCATGGCCGTACAGATTGCCGACTTGCCAGTTGGGCCAATAATCTTCACTGGCACGGTAGCGAAAGCGGTCGTCTGTGGCACGCTGACACTAGCATGGTGAGAACTTTCCTGCCGAGGTGCCGGAGCTGCTGACCGCATCGTGGCGGGATTCTGCGCTGCAGCTTGTTGTGGCTGCACTGACTTGCTGTAGTGCCGAAGAAGTGTTGCCTCTCTCCACAGTGGGAACGTTCCAGCTTCTGGCACTCACGCGCCAAGTGTCCATGCTCCAAACAACAGCTGCACAGCTTGGCACGCTTGGCCAGGTCCCAGCGGCGCTTGGTTGTCAGCGCCCTGAAATTCCGGACACTCTGCTGTGGCATGGCTCTTGCTTAACTTGGCACACTGCTGAGTACTGAACTCCACAGCATACACAGCAGATGACCTAGGCTTTGGCGGGACCGCAGGAGGTGTCTTGTTCAACTTCTCTGTGCCGACTGTCACCAAAATGTCATCGGCTCGCGTTCTGGACCCGTTTTACCAGCCAGAACGACAATGTGGTTGCGTTGCATTTGCTGTCTGGATGTGGTTCGTAAAATCGTATAACTACACTTCTGGGTAGCTTCTCCAGCGCACTTAGGAATAGCTCCCTACCAGGGGTCTCTCCAGCCAAGTCCAGGTTCATGAGTACATTTCTGAGCTTGACAGCAAATTTCCGCAGGGCTTCTGAATCACGGTCTGCGATTCTGGGATGGTTTAGGATTGCCTTCTCCTGTAGTGCCAGGTGGCGGTCTTCTCCCCCATACCACTGGTCAAGTTCTGCCCAAGCAGTAGCGTATGCGCCTGGCCCGCCAAACATCTGGGCACCAATGTCCTCAGCCGAGCTTCCTTGGAGCGCCTCCTTTAGCCTAGCCAGCTTATAATCGTCGGATACGTAGCGATCCTCATCCACCAGCCGCTTGAACGATTGACTCCACCGCACAAACTGTTGCGCGTTTCTGCTAAACTTGGGCAGGTCCAGCGGCTTCAAGTGGTGTAAAGCACTGACCCCATGCGGGCGTTGCATACTGACAAGCTAATCATGCACATGAGGCTCCACAGCAGGTTCCGGATGAGGAGACCACTCAGAAAGTCTACTCATTGGAGCACTATAGCCAACTGACGTTTCTCTGCTGCTCAGACTCCGTGGCTTCGGTGGTGGTGTCGGCCGTGTGTGTGGTGCTGGGATAGGTGGCACAGGCCGCATGTGCAGTGGTGTAAATGGTGGCACAGGGGTAACCTGTTCTGCGACTGCTGATTGTTGGCCTGATGCCACTTGGCCAGAAACAGACTCAACAGGTGAATCCAAAATCGCCTCAGCAGCAGCCGTCACACCAACACTCTCCTTTTCAAACTTCGCCTCCCACTCGTCCAACTCATTCCGCAGTTGTTCACTCTCTTGGGATCCCAACATACTGCGCATAATTTCTAAAACCAAATTCAGCTCTGACCGTACAAATTCCAATTCACGGACATCAGGCTGCAAATATCGGCGAGACGGCAAGGAGCAAGCAATCAGTGTTCGCAAGCGGTTACTTATCCGCGTGCGGCGTTTACGAAGGTTTGTTCTGCGACGAATCAATTCTTTCCAGCGGTCCTCAAGTTCCTCAACAGGAGTTTCACCCACGTTCGTACCATAATGGCGTGGCGTAAAACTACTAGTCACAAACTCTGGTGGTGGCGGAAACGCCATTACCACCGCTGACACTACCAGTCTAAACCTGTCGGATCCGGCTCGAAGGACATCTTGAACGGCACGCGCAAAGCAAAACATGTGACAGAAAATAATGCATGATGTCATCTGTACTCACGCGGACATGCAAAAAAGGTCAAATCTACACAAAAGCGAGTGCCGCAAGAAACAGCACAAATACATAATAATTCAAACAGCGAAGAACTAGAAAGGAAGATTTCTAATTATCGAAGAACAAGAATGTACCGTAGAGTCCCAGCGCAACTGCTGGAGGATGCTGGCACCCACCAGACAGATGGTGGCTGCCCCTGCCAGAGAGATAGAATGAAAACTGAAGCAGAGGAGCCACATTACAAATAGTGAAACGCACAAGGTAAGAATAATCGAGCAGTGTCCAATTACGACATACTGAGTAATATACATGTTAAACGAAGACAAACACTAACAAATGGAGAACGTTCCAACATTAAGCCAAGTGTGAAGACGTACTGGAGAGGACCGACAATTACAATAGAAGTGATAACAAAAGTGGATGTTAGACAACCTGGAAGACCGCGTAATTAAACCAGAACTTTGAGACTAGAGAAGCTAGAGTGAGAAGCTCCATGAAAAACAATACTGGAGGAGATGCAGCTGAAGGGACAATGAGCGTCACCAGGCCATGAGATGGGTACTGTGATGTCACGCAGAGGAGAGATGACAGGACACGGGAGGGGACAACAAAGAAAGGAGCCCAGAGTGGTACTTCATCTATCAAAAGCCATCTGTCCACGCATGCTTATTGTCGGGAGTACTGTCACGTGGTAGAGGTCCATTGCATTCGGCTGTGTTAGAAGCGTCGTACAAACTTAAGTTTTATCCTGAGCTTTGTTTCCAGAAAGAAAATGTGTTGTCTGTACAATTGTTTGATGCTATTCCTCGTCGATGTGTGAATAATGCTACATAATTTCTTCACTACGCTGTTGTTGTTATATCATATCTCCTTCTGAGAACTCAACCTTGTCACGAGAGTTATATCTCAGGACATTTTCGCTATATGTTGTAGTATTTTCATTTCAGCCATTCCCTGTATTATCCTGGAGAGAAGGGAAGAAAAACGCCTGATACATTGTTGTGTAACGCACGCACAACAATTATTCACCACTACTACTCCGCACATGAACACAGCACTCACAACGGCGGACTCTGACAGTAGTGTAAATAAAAGGACTGATACTTGGAAATGAATTAGTTAGGTAAGGATATAGAAAACCAACAACTCAATCTTGGAAAAGCTAATCAACAAGGAGAAATTAAAATGGAGCTCCACGGAACCGGCAGGGGCGATGCAAGGCAACGTGGAGAAGCCCGGCTGATGTGTGCGAGTACGCACGCGGCGCGTTCAATGGGGCTTCGGCCAGCAAGCGTGGGGATGCTAACCTGTGCAGCAGGCGCGGCATGCAAATAAGGCAGAAGGTAAAAGCAATGTGCGTGCTTGCAATAATGACGCGTAACTGATAGCGCATGACGTCAACATAACTCGTGAAAATGCCTACGCAAAAATGTTTACGAAACGTAACCGTGAACTTCAATGCAGGAACGATCTCTGCGATCCGGCAGACGATGAAACAATTTGAAACTAGACAAATTGACAGTCAGTGTGAGTCAGAGAAGAAAGGTAACATGATAATAGCAAGAGAAGAAAGGAACAGAGCAGGCGCGGAGAATGCTAAGTATTGATAGAAGAACAGAACGGTAAACAAAGTCTCAAACGAAGAACACGACGTACAAATTCAAATCTATAACTCGAAGCAATAAATAGTCGTGCAGTATAGTATGAAAATAATACTTGTGGAGAAAGAGGCGAACTATTCTACTTCAACCTCATGTGAAATGTCTTCTGGACTGGATGCGTTAATTGCGCAGATGTACGCGAACTTCGCTTTGTTTTAGAAAAAATTGAGAAAAGGTCACATCACGTTAATTACCTCCTAAGCGTCATTGAAATTGTCGCAGTTTGACTTTTGAAATAAAACGGGGTATATAATCGCCAGCAGTTGCACCACAGTTAAGAAATCGGACATAGACGATAGTCATCAGTATAGTCATCGGCATGACCACCTGGCTTGACAGTTGCCAAGATCGTCCAGGCTGGAGACGAGTTGCGAGTAGCACTCCGCCGCCACAGCCCGCTCCTGATCCTCTTCTCTGTGTCTGTGGTCGCCCGTTTCGTCGACCAGGAGACCTGAAACGACATGCCAAGTTCTGCGCTCGCGTTCTCACTTGAACTTTACGACATTCTCTATCATTGCATACGCAATGGGCAAGATCAAGGTCAAGGTCAAGGTGTGTGTGTGTGTATGTGTGTGTGAAGCCGATTGCTGAACAGCGAGGGGCTTGCCACTGTGGAGATTGTGGGCGTTGGTTTCGCAGCAAGGGTGGTCTAGCAGTTCACCGCTGTTCCGCACCTCAGCCTCAGCCTCCCGAGCCCCGGCAAGTCTATGTGCAGGATGCCTGCTGTGCTGCGCACTGTGCTGTGTGTGCCCGATGCTTTGGGTCTGTGCAAGGCCGCGGTCGTCACTGGTGCTCGAGGACTGGCCCGCGCCCGACTGCCCAGCAGCGTAATTCGTTCAGCCATGTATGCGTGTGTTCTCGCCGGTTCTGTTTGCCCCACCATCTCCGGCGTCATCAGGCTGCGTGCTCAATCTTCCTCTCTGATGACCCTCCGGGGCCCACGTGACCCCTGTGCCAGTGGCTCTACAGGACAGGACAGGTGTGTGTGTGTGTGTATGTGTGTGTTTGTGTGTGTGCAATCCCAGCACTACTTGCTGTGTCTAACGTCGCTGTTCGCTATCATTGCTTCTGTGTTGGGCAGGTCTGAGGTCTGGGGTCTGAGGTGTGTGTATATGTTTATGCGTGTGTTTTTGGATGTGTGTGTTGTGTGTGTGTGTGTGTGTGTGTGTGTGTGTGTGTGTGTGTGTGTGTGTGTGTGTGTGTGTGTGTGTGTGTGTGTGTGTGTGTGTGTGTGTGTGTGTGCGTTCATGCATGAGTATGTGCGTGCGTTCATGTGTGCGTGTGCATCAACATGTATATGCTCGTGGGTATGTGTGGACATGGTTTTTCTTTGTTGTTGCTGCTACTTCCAGGATGGTAACACACCATTACATCTTGCAGCAAATGGAGGTGATGTTTCCGTAGCAGATTGTCTACTTAATTCTGGACATTCGTTGGAACCAAAGAATGCTGTAAGTCAGATTATCCCTGATGCTTTCTCGTTTTGTATGAGCAGAAAGAAGAATTATGCAGTTAAATAGTTTTTGGGAGTAAACTTCCGTGCCTTCTCTTCATGTCGTGACGTACCTTCTCCCGTACCACGGCTGTTACGACAGTACAAAACGGGCCCACTTGGTTTTTGTACAGGAGATGGCGCTTCCCGGGACTTTCCCGTTCTCAACGTTCAAAATTTGTACTCAAGGAGGTGTATTTTGAACGCAATCTCTGCTCAGTTGGGTCTCCAAAGCACCACTTCTGATCACCGCGTCAAGCTGTCCCCGCGGCTACAGTTGAGCAACATCCTGACCATGCTTCGCCAAAGAAAAAAGTAGTGAATTTGAGCTTTCCTTCGCTGAGAAAAGCCATTCTTCATGGAAATTTGTCTCTGAAGTTGTTGCCGTTCGATCGTTCAAGTCACCGAAGTTTGTTGCCTCCTTGAGGTGCTCAACGAGTTTTCGTCACGTCAAGGGTAGTTTTGCCGAGGAGAAGAGTATCTGTGTAGCTGTTTTTTGTTACTGCTGGGGCCCCGCTGATTCCTTGTTGGCCCCGCTGGGTCCAAATATCTAGCAACATTTAGTGGAAATTGTTATTTATTTAGTGGATTTGAAATGGAAAAACACCAAGAAAAGTTACAGCTGGTATGCAGGTTAGGCGGTGAAAAGTTGTGTAGTACTAGCCGTGGAACTCAGCACCTTGTGAGAGATCATGCGAAAGCCATTGAATCTGTGCTGAGTATTAATGTGTTGTGTGATGACCGAAAAACTCATCATATTAATATGCATGTAGCTCCAGCCTCATCCAGTCTGCATTTAGACGATGCAACAATTGGCATGGATATTCCCCTGATGAAACTGTACGACATTGCATCACCGCCGTACAAAGCAATTGCTGACTTGCTGCCGGAACGCTTTAATAAATACAGAGTTCGTTGCAGCAGGTGCCAACTTGCAGCACGCACGGCAGTACAACAACGTGATTAGAAAAGCCATTCTTCCTGTTGAGCTGCAAGACGTGTGTATTCCTGTGCTCCACCTAGATCTAGGGATTTATCCCTAGATTTACGGTGCACTTTGTGCTGACGCACATCAAATCGATATTGCACTGAGCAAATGTATGTTTCTTGCTGCAGATGACGGTGACTCTGCAGCGTTTACAGCACTTATCAATGCCTACAAGAACGTACACGACACAGCAACACAACAACTACACCTACAGTCAGAAGCACAAAGCATTCTTAGTCAGCTGCAGTTTGTGACGCTACAAGAACGTACACGACACAGCAACACAACAACTACACCTACAGTCAGAAGCACAAAGCATTATTAGGCAGCTGCAGTGTGTGACGCACATTCAGCAGCAGGAAGTAGTGGCTGCTGGCTTGCAGACTGTGGCATCAAATCTGCACTTCCTATGGAAGGAGAAAGAAAAGGAACTCAATTTGATGAAGGAGAGGTGATGTGGCTCGAAAAGAGCATGAGAAATTAACAGTAAAAGATTTAAAAAAAAGCAGCTGGCCCGTGCGTAACTTCCTTGGAAGCAGTACTGCCACAGTACCAAATAAAGCAGCAAGCATATCACTCCGGAGCATTTGTCGGCAACCACATACACCGTGCGTTGAAACCGGATGTCATTGCTGCCCTCACTTCTGTTCCCCTGACAGTCGTGCAGAGCCGCACACCTGCGGACAGCGGCGAGGTTCAGCTGCATAGCTTGCCCAGGCAAAGTCCTTGAGAGATCGCTACTCGAGACTCTTCACAGAGTATGCAGCATGTCGCAAGCTGTTCAGCGGCAAGCTGGTTTTTACAACAGCAACAAGGCAGGTTCTGGGTGATGCCATCCACACCTTCATGGCCACCTGCAGAGCGGAGGTTCTGGCACGCAAGTTAGGCAATGTGACTCCTAAGCTTCACCTTCTCGAGTGCCATGTCCTTCCTTGTACAGGGTTGAAATTAATTCTTGCTGATCTGTTCGGCCACACACTCTGAGCTCCTCTGATGAGACCTAACAAGGTTGAAATTAATTCTTGCTGATCTGTTCGGCCACACACTCTGAGCTCCTCTGATGAGACCTAACAAGGTTGAAATTAATTCTTGCTGATCTGTTCGGCCACACACTCTGAGCTCCGCTGATGAGACCTAACAAGGTCGAAATTAATTCTTGCTGATCTGTTCGGCCACACACTCTGAGCTCCCCTGATGAGACCTAACACTGTAACAGGGTTGAAACTAATTCTTGCTGATCTGTTCGGCCACACACTGTGAACTCCGCTGATGAGACCTAACAAGGTCGAAACAGCTATAGCTGTCCGGAGATTGAGTAAACTTGACAAAAAGTTCTCCCCCGATCCGAGGCGCAGGTCGTCATTTTGCGAAAGAGTCCTGCGAAGCACATCTCCTTTATCTGCTACTGAGCGGTATCTGTTGCACTTCGCGGAGCACAGCTGCCTCCAACAACATATTTTGACGAGCAAGAGACTGAGGAGACGAAATCCATAAAAGTACCATTTCAAGTACATGCATTCGAAGTGACAGAACCTTTTCTTTCTGCAGAAATGATCATGAAAATTTGAAAAATGCGATGAGCGTACCCACGTTTTCCGTGTGACCTCTGTTGCCAGGGGGCGTTGCTACAGGTCGCCGCCATCTTGCCAAGTGACCTCCCCGTAACAGCCGTGCGTACATTGTCTCCTTCCGCATCACCAAGGTGATATAGTAACACGAGCAAATGAGAGCAAGAACAATGAATTATAAATAATTATTGTGAAAAGAAGAAGGACAAAATGTTACGAGTTATGACAAACTGTCCACCAACGTAACTTATACAGTCAGCAAGTGCGACAAAATGGCACAAAACTGACAAGGAGTACTGAGACATTCGGCGACGTGACTCTTAGCTCCAAAAATTCTCCAAGGTGCAGAGGAAAGCACAACGAAGAAGAGCACGAGCTACGTGCCACGGCAAATGCCTAAAGTTACTGGATGATGGCGAAAATAGTAAGACTCTTGGACATACCGGCCTTACTACAACTCGACGACGCAAAACAACTGACCACCCAACTTGGGAGGCTCAAGTTTATGTAATAAACATAGAAAGGGGAAGCTAACCAAAGACAAATTGTCTCAAACCGAAACCTCAATATCCTACTGAACTCCACTATCATGTAAATGTGATGGACGAGTTATGTACAAAAACAAGTTCTTCCACACGACTTATGTTTTGCCGTATATGTCATGACGTCTCATCAGGTGTGCAAAGTTGAACTCGAATGGTGAGCCAATTAAACTTTGGTGAAAAAAGCGAAGGACAAAATGTTACAAGTTATGATTAACTGTCCACCAACGTAACCAGATCTTATACAGTCAGCGAGTGCGACAAAATGGTGGTTGATGAACATTTAGTCAACTCGTAACATTAATTTTTGTCCTTCTCTTTTTTCACCAAAATTTTATTAGCTCGCTATCCGAGTTCATAATTCATTGTATTTGTAATTGCTCTTGTTTGCTCTTTCTTGTATATCACCTGAGGAGAAGGTACAGAAGTTTATCGCGAAACCATTAGTTTTCAGAATGTTGTTGAAGAGCTGGAGGTTTAGCTTAGCTTCATTAGCCTGGAAAACGATAATGAGTTACTTGCGTCACCTCGAACGTGCTCGTAAGTCCAATGTCTTGAAGAGATCTGGTATATGTTTCCAAGTTGGCTATTCGAGGATCGCAGCATCTCTGCTATTTTTTATTATTCCTCTGGAATCCCTCTCGAGTGCTGGACTCCAGGTGTCATTGTGTGATCTACAAGCGCTTTGTCCGCCCGCGCACAAACCACTCTGGCTCGCCCCATCCAACAGGGTGGCCATCGCCAATCGGTGAGGACCCTACCTTTGCCTCCTGTACAATATGCATTGTCCATATGCACATCGCCTTCTACAGAGAATGTTGCCACCCCACAGCCCCAATCCCAAACAGTCCACGCCACCCGTAGTACGTTTTGAAGACCCACCCACGCACACCAACTGGCAAATGAAATTCCACTCCCTTCCCGCAACAACCTGTGTCGAGCCTACCCTCGCGCAATTTTCCCCGTCTGGAACCAGCTGCTCGTCAGAGTCTTTTCTGGTCCATTTTGCACCAATAACTTACAACGTTTCAAAGTTGCAGCCAACCGCTATTTGAAGAATAATGACTAATCGTGGGCACATGATCATCTCTGAGTATCAGCATCATATCTGCCTCACCCCATGATTTTTTCAAATTCCGCTCCACGTACTCCTCCCAATAACGTGTTTCCTTCTTTTCTCTCCTTCTCCTCCTAACACTCTCTGTCTTATCTTTACCCACCTTCTAATGTACTGTCTCTCCTCCTAACATTTAGTATCATGTATCTGTACGTGCTAGTATGATGCAAGCCAGATATGGATTGATCGAAGAACGATAGATTGACCATCACTGTGGATAAGAGTCATACTGTAGCTCAGTAGGTTAGAGCATTGCTCGCGAATAGCAAGGTCCCTGGTTCGAGTCCCGGTGGTGTGACTGATGATTTTTTCTGTCTTTCATATCTGGCTTGCAAGTGTTGAGTTTCGGAGAGAAAAGAGCAGTACGTGGCAGTACGTGGCATGTGGCCTCTGATTTTATAATACTTTGAAATTCTCCGTGACGTCCAAATTTGAAATTGCTACCTGTCACTTCTTTCTTTTTTCTTCTTCTTTCTTTTTGGTACGTTTTATGTAAAATAAACACAACAACAACATGTCCCCATGATGTCGAGACCTCAGGTCGGTTGAGGGCAGAAAGCCTCGCCATCAATGCTCCCACTATGCATTTTTTGTCTTTTCCCCAGAGCCGTGATCAATGTTGATAAATAAAAAAGGAAGAAAAAAACCTCCCTAGCCTAGGCATTCACAGAACGCTTGGAGCACTCTGCTTTCTTCTTTCTGCACAAGCTCCATTGTTCAACTGGCCCAGATATGCTCCTCGCC